GCCTTCTGTTGGTGTCCAAAAAAATATTTCTTTAAAAATCCAAGCCTTCTGTTGGTGTCCAAAAAAAAAAATATTTCTTTAAAAATCCACGCCTTCTGTTGGTGTCCAAAAAAAATATATCTTTAAAAATCCACGCCTTCTGTTGGTGTCCAAAATAAAAATATTTCTTTAAAAATCCACGCCTTCTGTTGGTGTCCAAAAAAAATATTTCTTTAAAAATCCACGCCTTCTGTTGGTGTCCAAAAAAAAATATTTCTTTAAAAATCCACGCCTTCTGTTGGTGTCCAAAAAAAAAGAGATTTAATCTATATATATTTTTTTAATCCTAATACATACTTTGAAGACATAAAAAATCATACAATTTGGAATAAACTGTTTTTGGGGCCCTGACACAATAGACATAATTAAATGTGCTGTATTAATTAAAAAACTGAATTTTTAATACACTCAAAACAAAATAAAATTAAAAAAAAATGTTGTTAGGTTCTCAACAATTTGAGGAATTTAAGTAAAATATTATTGTGGCCAACAGATATAGAAAATATCGTAGAGTTATCGTAGGACCTCCAAAAAAACACTTAAAAAATCCACTACTTCAAAGCTCTTTCAAAAAAAAAAAAAAAAATCCAAGACTTAAAAGAACCCCCAAAAAAAATTAAAAAAATCAAATGGTCTTCTTCTTACTATGGAGGATCTCAAGAAAAAGTTATTTTCTTATCTTTAATAGACCTCTAGTTAGCAGTATTTTGCATTTTTTGCAGCCATAAGGTATGCTACAAATTTTACGAATTTAATTTTTTTAAATCTACGCCTCTAATGGCCTTCTTCTTACTATGGAGAATCTCAAGAAAAAGTTTTTTTTTCATATCTTTAATAGACATCTAGTTAGCGGTATTTTCCATTTTTTGTTACCACCAGGCCTGCTACAAATTTTACGAATTTAAATTTTATTGCTACTGCCCAATAGTATGCTACACATTTTATGACTTTAAAATTCTTAAACAAGAAAAACCAGCAACAGTTGTCATATCAGCCTTCACACAACAAAATATCACTATGTGGATACATGTGTATGTATCGGATGGTGTGTGTGTGTGTGTTTGTGCATGTGTGTAATATATCACATTTCTCTTTTTCAATACACCACGGCATGGCTTGAGGAATAAAATTAATGTGGAATAATTTTGTTGCCATTGTTGTTGTCGTTGTTATTGTTGTTCCCGTAAATTTTTGCCATAGAAATTTTTCAATAATAGCAAATTGTCAATTTTAATGATATTGTGAAAATACATTTATGGGATTCCATTTCGTAAAAGAGTAGTAATGGTTCAACATTGTTTGTTGTCATTAAAAATAATGAGATAAATATATATGTATGTGCGTATATACATATATATTATTAGTAAAACATAAACAAATTATGGACAGACAAAAATTTATACATACATATAGTATTAAAATATTGTCTATCATTATCAATTTGTTGATGATTGGGGGGTGTATAGAGTTCAATATGTATATGTACAGGAATCATATATCATGTTTACCTATACACACACACTCACCCACCCACGTATAGATATATATTTTTCAATAAAAGGCTTTATTATATAATAAACATAACAATGGCTGTATAGCATGTGTGTATGTATGTGTGCCATTGTTTGCAACACCAATTTTATTGTGATATTATTATATAAGCATTATTATGCTAATTAAATTTCGTTATAAGCACCACACACATATATGTATGTGTACACATGTGTGTGTGTGTATTTTTACTACACAATAGATAACATTAAAACCAAAACAATCATGGACCATTGTCACAAAGAGGGGCCATAGGTTGCCTATGGAACGAACTATTGGTGAAAAGGTGCTGGAATGGTGGAGGTGAGGGGGAAGAATTTCAACAAGGCACACAATAAAAACAAAAACAACATTCTAAAGCTTTTGTTATTTTTAATCATCATCAAATGACAATAACATTAATGCTTCAGCTGCTGCTACTGACGATATTGTTGTTATTGGTGGTGGTGATTGTCAGGACGAGATGATGATGATGATGACTGTCAATATAAAAGTGATTGACATTAAAACTCTTCAAACACTCAACATACTCGACAATACTTAAATATCAAACATACTCAATGCACCAAAAATTCACGCACACACACATCTATCACCACAAAATAGGAGACCCACTTGAAACAAAAAATATAAAAAAAAAATCAAATCAGATCAGAGTTTGAGAGAAATTCCGGGCGGGGGAAAAAAACTATGACAACATTGTTGGGAGTTGGAGGGCAAAATAACAATCCTTAAATAATGCCAGAGAAATACAAAACCTCCATCATATAATCGGATTACAAAATAAGAGAATTATATAATACTCAAACACACACACACACACTCACACGCAGAGACAATATATGTGTGTGCATGTGTACGCATTTATGTTATATAAAATAGGTAAAACAATCGTAACAATGATAATAAGTATGCTATATAATGTAATTAGTTATATAATGGAAAAGTTGGAAAAACAAAAAAACTGAAGCATACTTTTAGGTTTAATACAAATAAGCATTATAAAGGAAGGTTTAAAGAGTTTATTTTAAATTTGAAAAATATATACTATGGTTCAAATTTTATTGATTTACATATATATATATATATATATATTATTAAATATTGAAGCATATATATATATATATTTGATGGATATATATAGCTTTATACTAAAAAAACATATTTAATAGGACATCTGGATATTGATAAGCTGAAGCATTATTTTATATCTTCAATATTTTATAGGCTTAATTACGTTTTACGTTACTTATAGGCTTAATTACGTTTTATTAAAACTGTAAAATCTTAAATAATACTATTGTACATTTTATATTGATTTATAGAAGCTATAGCTTCTATATATATTCAGAGCATATAACTTGTACTAATAAAAAATGACTAAATTCATGTTTTTTTGAAATATTTGTTAAATTAGGCTTACATGCCCCTCTAAATGAAATGCAACCACGGCGTCCAAAGGAATATGCCAACACTAAAAAGCAAGGACTTAAACCATTGAAAATTGCAAGATGATGTTGTTTATAGATAACGATAGATGGCATCCCCAATAGGCCTCAATATGCATCTATCTATGACTTCAGAAAGTCTTAAAAACTTATGTAGGCCTCGGGATGCTATTCCTGTACTAAAATTATTTAGAATTCATTTTATTTATATATAATGGATATGCTCTAGAAAATTTTCTATCTATATAGTATCTATATCATGTCCTATGGATGTTCCTCTAACAAGAAGAATTTAATAAATAATTTAGTCTAAATACTAAATGTATACACTCCCTGTTTTTCAAACTTCTCTCTTTAAAAGCCTCTATATATTAAAATAAATCTGAAGTCTAACAGTGGTGGTTAGTGTGCCACACTACAACTCGAATCCTAGCTGATCATAAATATTTTTCCATAACAATTTTCGAATATTTCTAAAAAAGGCTTAAATCCCCTTTATATGAAGTCCGAAGCCTTCTAACATTCTAGTGACCAACCCAGAAGAAAATTGCAACACTAAAGAAGCAAGGAGCCAAACCACTGCAAACAACTCAAAAGGGTGTTGTTTCTATGCAACGATAGATGGCTCTCAAGATGAGTAATAGGAATAATAGGAATAGATTTTATATAGAACTGCTACTTATCAAATTACTCTAAATGTAAGCATCCACCAACAGGGGACTTCTACAAAACGATGGATCCCCGAATTCAAATCTCAGTGAAGGAGCAAAAATTTATGCAAAGTGGTTTTGAAATATTTGTAAACAGAGACTTTCAGATAAAATGTATAAAAGGCATTCGAATTTAAACCTCAATATCAAACCCTTGAGGATAACAAAAAAAGGCATGACAGGATATAGCGCCACCCAGACAAACATAGCAACACTTAGTAAACAAAGACCCCAACCTCCGCACAAAATTCAAAGATGCTTATTGAAATAATCTAGATAAAGGCAACCATCAACAGAGAAATTCAAAACAATCTTCTATAGTTAGTGTGTCAGACTACAAACCAATGGGTTCTGGATTCAAAAACTATTTCAAAGTGGTTTTTGTAATTCGTATTGGTAAAAATATACTTACATCCTTCTCCAGATGATGAAGCCGCCAAATATTTTAATAATCAACATATTCATCAAAATAGAAATGACTGGCGCCATCTATGAAATATGACAAAACCAAATAAGCAAGAACCCAAACCACTGCAACGAAAGAGTAGTAATAGGAACAAATAGAATAGGTTTTATCCTACTTATCGAATTACACTAAATAAATCCTCAATCAATTTTTTATAGACAGTGTGCCGAACTACAAACCAATGGGCTCCGTATTTGAATTTCGAATATGGTGTACATCACCTTTCCACACATTCAACAAAAAACCCTTGAGGATAAAACAAAATAGAAATGGCGGGAGAGAGCGTTATCCAAAGGAAAATGACAATACTGTATAAGCAAGGACTCAACCCTCTACAAAACGGAACGATAGGTGGCTCCCATGGGGAGTAATGGAACAAAAATAATATAGATTTTATGTATATATATATATATATATATATATAATTGAAATGAGAGGTTATAGACTCACCTGTGGAATATGGCAACACTAGATAAGCATATACCTTAACCATTGCAAAAATTCAAAGAGGTGTTATGTCTACGCAACAATAGATGTCAGCCACATCACCTAGGATAGGCTATAGCAGATTAGTCATTTACTTAACAGTCATTTACTTAACAGTCATTTACTTAACAGGACTAAAAAACAATGACAATCCCAAAATGAGTAGAAGGGAAAAAATAGAATATATTTTATATATAAATTTGTATTTGTTATAAAACTAAAATAATATTATATTAATATGTATAATAAGCAATACATTCCATTAATATTTTAAATTTATAAAATTTACAATTCAAAAATATGTTCCTCATTTTCAATAAATTAATGCATTTTCTCTTATTTACTTTCCAGGGTGCTTCCTCTAGTCTGGTAGTTAAATTTGCTGATACCGAAAAAGAAAGGCAAATACGGCGTATGCAACAAATGGCCGGTCATATGAATTTGCTTAATCCATTTGTCTTTAATCAATTTGGTCCATATGGAGCTTATGCGCAGGTAAATATACAAAGGGGAAATTTTCACAGAAAGAATAACGAAACGAAAAAAAAACGACAACTACAATTAAAATTTTCGTTCGCAAAACCCATAGCCACACAGGCAGCAGTAACAACCTGCTAGACCCATAACACAGATGGAATATGTTGTTAAATACGAGAACCAAGTTATTATTGTCGGAGATAAGAAGAAGGGTTCATTGGATATTGGATATGTAATAAAGAAAACAAGGGAACACATACAGAGGAACATACATTATTTTCAAGGGTCAGGGCAAAGTAACATAAGGTGTAATTCTGGCAGAAGAAAATATTTAAAGGAAGGTTGATGTAGTGTTAATGGTGAAAATGAATGTGATATGGAAAAGAGCAGAACCAAAGGAGTCGGGAGAAAATAATATGCAATTAAAAAATTTTACAGGAACCAAAACAGATGTTGGTCGTTGAAAATAATAAAATATGGAGTTAATCTGGAAATTTCAGACATAAAAATGATTTTTTAAACAATTAACAAAATAAAAGAACAAATCAAGAAAGTGAGGCATACGATGCATTAATGTAGACATATATCCTTTTAATTTGTACAAATATAATAAAGGTGCCTAAAAATAGACACTATTTTTTATTACTTTAGCACAATCAGCCAGCAAGGGGTCCATATTAATAATTTCACATACAAATCTTAAGAGAACCACAATATTTCATATATAAGCAAGAGGCCTAAAATTAGGCACAATTTTTTATAAACAGACATCTTAAAAAAAGCACCATTTCTTAGTGGTTGTAAGCAGCGGTTTTCTATAAATATTTTCACATGAAATTATCTTCCCTTTTTCGGTTGGCTATTTACCTAAAAGTATACACCATTTTTACTTTATCATAAACAGGTGATCGTATTAATTTTTTCCCATGATGTCTAAAAGTAGGCACTATTTTCTAAAAATATACACCATTTTTATACCCTTCACCACAATGTGGTACAGGGTATTATGTCTTTGTGCATATGTTTGTAACAGGCAAAAATAATCGAGATAGACCCATGGTTCCTTTTGAGAATAGGCATAGAATCACTTTCTGAATCGATTTATGCTTGTCCGTTCGTCCGTCTGTCTGTCGATGTTAAATTGTAAACAAGGTACAGGTCGCATTTATAATTCGAATTGGATGAAATTTGGCATAGGTCACTTATTTGGCCCAAGGACGAACCCTATTGAAATTCGGAAAAATCGCTTCAGATTTAGATATAGCTCCCATATATATTTTCGTCCGATTTAAGGTAAATGGATACCAAAGTCCCTTTATATGCTTCGAGTTGCACAAAATTTGGCTTAGCGTACTAAATTGAGTCTGGAACGATGCGTTTTAAATTTTGTGAAAATCGGTTCAGATTTAGATATAGCTCGCATATATATTTTCGTCCGATTTTAGGTAAATAGTGCACCAAAGTCCCTTTATATGCTTCGAGTTGCACAAAATTTGGCTTAGCGTACTAAATTGAGTCTAGAATGATGAGTGGTGTGTTTCGGGAAAATCGGCTCCCACATATAGAAATTTCCATAAATTTTCCCCAGGGTACGCAGGTGACGCTAAATCTGCTCGAATGTTAGGATAGGTTTTAGAAAGAGGGAACATAGACATGCAGTTGCTACATATGTACATATGTTCCCAAAGTGGTGAAGAGTATCATATAGTCGGCCCAGTCCGACTTTACTACTTTCCTTACTGGTCGTATTTAATATTTTTTTCATGTGGTCGTATAAATAAATGATAATAAGCAGAGGTTCTTCTTATTTTCCGACTTGGACCCAAAACCTTCACCAGGAGGATATGCCATAAATCCTCAAATATAATTTTCATTGGCTTCTACCTCAGAAATATCCACATTTGAATATAAAAAGAAACCATGTCTGATAATAAAACTTATTGCGGAATTTATTTCAATTCCCTCTATAAAATGCAGCATAAGGCCTATAAAAAAGTGGGTTGTTATTAAGTTCCTGACCTTGCATGAACGAAATTAAATTAATGTTTTAATTTTGAATTCCAATAAACCCAAATTTATTACACCACAATAATAACATTTTTTAATTGTCTTTCGTTTATTTTCTTGTCCTTCTTTAGCAACAACAAGCTGCATTAATGGCTGCCGCTGCCACAGCCCCTGGTTCATATATAAATCCCATGACTGCATTGGCCACTCAAATACCTCCGGGCATTAATGGCGCCGGCCAGCCTTCATTACCCTCACCGACCATGCCCAATTTCCAAATGGGCGCACAAACGCCCAATGGCCAACCGGGCAGTGCTGCTGCAGCAGCCGCAGCTGCGGCCGCTGCTGATGGTGTGTTTACAAATGGTATGCCACCACAGACACCATATCCAGGACGTAAGTATTGCAAAAAACAAAAATTTAAAAAAAATCAATTTCAAAATACTTCGTTGAGTTGGCTCCTAAAAGTAGGCAATAAGTTGTTTGCTCGAACATAACCTAAAAATTAGGAAATTAAAAGACTTAAAATTAGAAAAAATATTTTTAAGATATTAAATAATAAATTTTAATTATTACATATTAACTATGTATTAAATATTAAATATTTAATAATAATGCAGTATTGCCTACTTTTAGGAGCCTCCGTCACCATTAAAACTAATTCCCATCCCCAAATAAACATTTCAGATATCTTGCTTTATTCCAAAATTAAATATAATATTACAACTTTTCATTAATAGAATTGTACCTTTCAGCACCTTTACACTTAACCATACCACCCCAAGGCCTGCAAAATGGCGAAGCAGCAGCATTACAGCATGCCTTTGCCACTGGCATGCCACCATTCCCTGGAGTTGGTAAGTTTCCAATTAGAATAACAACAATTTAAGTTGAAAACTATTTTTCTGGCAAATTTTTGGTTATTAGAAAACAATTTTATTTATTTATATCAAAATAAAAAAGTAAAGCAATGATGCTTAAGTTTTCTCCATGCATATCATCCATGTACGAGTTTAAGAATAAAAAAACAATAATTTGTTTCTTTAGTTAGTTTCTGTTTTATTGTTCTTTGTTTTGTTAATTTAATAATAATTGATGTTGTTTAAAAAAAAAGTTATATATAAATATATTTTTTTAACTATCACTCGTTATGGTATTTGACGTCATACATTAATAGATTTTTTCGTTCGTTCCTTACAACAACAACAACAGAAAAACAAACAAAAAAAGCGGTGTGAAAAAAGTGTTTTACAAAACAATAAATTAGAAACAAAATAATAACAAAAATATTGAAATAAAAATATTAACAATTGAAATCAAATGCCACCCATTAACCATAAAAAAAATTATTTTTTTTCAATATTAAAAAAAATGTATTACAAAAATTTACACACACCCAGGATTTATGTTTGTTTTTCAATTATTTGTTATATATTTTTTTTATATATAAAAATTTACATATTTTTAAAAAAATATTATTATAATTGTTGTGTCATGCCATAAATATTAATTGTTAGTATATTAAATAAAAAATATAAACAACAATAACAAACTCCCACGCACATGGAAAAAAACTGTAAAATGTAATGGATGATAAAAAAAACTATATAAATAATCAGACAATAAAATCTAATTTATTTATAAACAATAAATATTATAATCACTTATTGAAAAATAAATAAAATTAATGGGCTAATAAATGAAATTAAAAACAATAGAAATACAAATATGCGTAAAGGAAATAAAAAATATTTTTTTACATGATTCAAATACCTATCAGGGTGCAAATACCAATCACCCTTTAGCGCCAATATATGAAAGACTCAAAATTTAAAGTCTATATGGCGCAAACAATTCAGTAATACAGCCAACAGATTCTTTCTTTAATACAAGGGAAAATTGATACTCGCAACGATTTTGTATTTCGAGGCTTGCATTGAAATATGGTTTTGTTTAACGATTTGATTTACAAAAATATATGTTCAACATAATCGTCCCATGCGGTAAAAAACTTTCGGAAGTCGCCATGACCGGTGAATTACTTCACCTTTTTTTCCTGCTATATCACCATATATGTGATGTTGGGATCAGTTTGAGGACATGTGTCTCATTTTGCCATCGATCTTGGCATCGACATTATGGAAAATATAATGTTTTTCATATATCCCGGTAATAGGGTAAAAGTACTTTCGAAAGTAGCCATGGCCGATGATTTACTTCACATTTTTCCAGCTATACCATATGTGTGATGTTGGGATCAGTTTGAGGACATCTACCCTTTGTTTCAATTTGACATCGATCTTAGCATTGACATTGTAGAGAATGATATTTCCTATGTCTATCCCATGTCGTAAAAGTACTTTCGAAAGTCACCGTTGAATTACTTTACCTATTTTTTCTGTTATACCATATATGTGATTTTGGGATCAGTTTGAGGACAACTGGGGCCCCGATTGTAGACTTCTCTGTGCAAAACACTTACTGCCCTCAAACTTAGGCTCAGCTGCCATTCTGTAGAAGACGAATCGCTTTTGATGAACTACCTTCATCTTCGTTATAGAAATGTCACTTCTCGGGATGCCTCATTTAATTTCGGGACTATCCTTGTATGGACCTCCCCTCTTTTCATTGTAGCTTAGACAATAGTACCACTTGCCCTATTTGAACCCATGGCCTGTAGGCATTTTTGGAATGTGCTCATCCCCTTTCTTTCTTTCTTTCTTTCTTTCTTTCTTTCTTTCTCTTTGACCATTGCCTATCAGTTTCCATACATTTTCTTACAGGGTATTATTAAATTCTTCTCCCCTTAGAGGTCTTCCAAGTGCCTTTGTAGTTTAGGGCATCGTTTTTCGGGTTGGACAGTTGCCCTTCTTAAAACCCAACTTTTTCGATGGCGAACTGCATCTTCACTGAAGGAGTTTTGACAGTATTCATCCTTATTCAGTTTCTTTGGTTTGGCTTCGGATATAAAGTCGCTAATTTTCTTCAATTCATATCCGAACAGAATGTGGAATCATGAATAGCCGATTTATAGGCACGAAGGAATTTTTGAATATTCCACTGTTGAGGTTCTTCCATCAGCTTGTGGATGTAGAGTTATTGCCCTGGCTTTCTTTTTCCCAAAGGAATAACGCTCTGGCCGTGTTTGATGTTCTTAAAAAGGTTCGATGAAATCTTCCACCATAGCATCTGATTATGAACGTCGGGACATTGTTCTGATTTTCATGATTCCATAGAAGTCACACCTTTCCTCAAAAACTTCTGACTGACTATCAAGGAAATGATTGCCATATTTGTATTTGTGTTTGCGCTCTCAATGACTAAGGCCTCCACAATAGTCGTCCGCAGTAGCTGATAAATCTTTCATAAACATTTTCCTGGAAAAAGACACAACCTATACCGTATGCACTAGCGTCTGTGTTTTGTAACAATTTGCCAACCGGTAAAGGGTACAGCAAACATGTTTTGTATTTTTTTTACTATAGCGAACACAGCTATTGTGTGGCTCATTTTTCCTCTGGGCAGTTTTAAAAATAATAACTCTGAAGCCTCTCGATCCAAATGGGCAGTTGACTTTTCGGATTCTTAAACTGAAACAACCATTAAAGATGTGGGTCATCGATCTTTAACAATCCTGGTCGTATAGGTATTTTAGATGGAGTTCGATGCTCTCAGTGACCACCAGCATTTCTCTCTCTCTCTGTCTCTCTCTCCCTCTCTCTCTTCCCCTCTTCGACACTACCGATGTCCTGTGCATGAGGTTTTGTGTCCAGGTCAAATCAGTCATTTTCAATATTAACTAATTTTAATGCATACTTTCAGGAAAAATGTTTATTTGTTTGGTGCAACATCAGGGTTGTATTTTAAATGATTTCTTATTTTAGTATAGGATTTTACGTGGATTCAACTTTGTATGGTAAATTGAGCTCAATTTAGCAATTAAATTGAGATAATGCACTATATCACAATAAAATCGCATCTTAAGACTTTTGCCAAAAATTTTGGCATATTCTCCGCGAAGGCATAATCCGGAAATGTTGCTAACGTAAATAAGATGGATGATTGTCATTTGATCTAATCTTATTAATGTAAGACGGATATGAAAGATGTTCGAAATTCTATAAATGATTCTTGACATTCTAATGTCGTTGAATATTACCCTTACCACTGCAGAGAGTCCAAATATCGCAATATTCAACACAGACTCGCAATTTGAAACCGCTGAAACTCTCAATCTAAACTTCGACCACTATCGATTGTTTTATGATTTTATATTAAATTAACAAATCTTAAAGTAGGATGCAATCCTTTACTAAATACTTGAATCTATAAAAATTTTAATCTAAGCTTCGGAAAGACATAGGAGTTCTCAGACCCTCTTAACAATATAACTGTTTAATATAAAGAATATTGTTGTAAATTTTGCAGTTTCTCTCTGTGTGCGTGTGAGTGTGTTTGTGTATTCTTTTCGCTGTTTCAATTGTTTAACGTGTTTTTTATTTTTGTTTTTAATTTCGTTTCATTTTATTTGGCGTAATTTGTTGTTTACTTATATATTTACAAACAAAAACATTAATATATATCTTTGTTATTGTTTTTCGTTTTACATATATGTATTCAATATTTTTATATAAACAAATATGTATTAATTTATTTGTCTATTAAGAAACAATTTTATAAAAAAAAACTAAAAAAAATAAAAGATAAAAATTTTCAAAATTTGGGAACAGTTTACTCTTAAAAGAAAACTTTCTAATTTTTTAATCTGAGAGCGGTTCAGAATTCCATTGATATTTTTAAAAAAATTCCTTGTTATGTTTCTTTTTATAAAATTGCTTCCTAAACATTGTCTTAATAACTATGTTTCTTATTTAAATTATTTTTAACATACATTTATATATACTATATTATTATTCTAAAAATATCTAAATTATTATAATTATTACAATTTATTTATATATTTCATTGTTGTGTTGTCTTTTAAATGTTTCGATTTTTGTGTAAAACCAAACCAAAATTATTTATATAATGCAGCCTTCCCCGCCGTTTATGGACATATTCCACAAGCTTTACCACCACCAATTGCGGCGGTTGCACCCGCTCCACGTGAAGGTAAGTCATGTCTTTTGTTATTTTACTTACTAACAAAAAACATATTTTTTTGGAATATTTTTTTTTTAATTTTCATTTATTTAAATTATTTTATTTGCAAATGAAAAGTTTAAATAGATTTTATTTTTTTCTTTTCAAAATAAATATTTTTAATAAAAAAAAAATACTTTAATGGAAAAAGGTTTGGATTTTGTTATTCAATACAAAAATAAAAAAATCGGTGCAGATTTAGGTATAGCTCTCACATATAAGCTTTATACGATTTCCCACTGTTACAAAAAAGGCGGCATGTTACCTCCTGAAAAATCATTTTGTTTCAATCCGGAAAAATGTCCTCCCCTGTCATTTCTTCAATTGGATTACCCTAAGTACTCTTGTCGTCAAGCCAATTAATATTTTATATTTATATATTTTTTTATAATTCTTTTTTTTATTTCTTCAACTAAACCAAATAACTTTTTCATGATTTCCGATTAATCTAAATGCATTTCATAACAATAAGGGAAAAGCCATTAGCAATCGACACAAATAAAAAAACAACAAAATCCGAACCTTTTTTTCTCCACATATATTTAATTAAAATTATAAAAAAATACATATACAGACATATTTATAAAAATAAAAAATTTTAAAAAAAAAAAAACAAAAGCTGGCAAGTGTGTTATACAAATGTCATATATATAATAAAAATACAACAACATAAAATCACACACATCGAACCGTTAACAAATGTGTTTAACTAATTTGTAAAATAACAGCAACATCAGGAGCAGCAACAATAGTAATGGTTATAGTAGCAGCATTAAGAACATTTTTCAATTTCCTGTTGAAATGATTTAAAAAAAATAAATTCAGAATAAAAAACCAAAATAATATGACTTTCACATAAGAGGGTATTTATGTTATAGGGGGTTTTACGCATGGCTATTAATATTTATTTAGTATTTATTTTTTTTATATAAAAATAAATATATGTCCATATGCCATTACCATTACTGCTGGCCATTTTGTCAAGCAAATGAATACAACAGTCGGAAAAAATTTTCAAATAAATTTGCAAATGGTATACCTTGGTCATTTCGAGCAGTGCGACTGCTGCGTTGTAATTTGTTGTTATTTCATTGTTAAAATAACCAAATATTTTTACATTAAAAGTAAAAACAACAACAAGTGCAACAAAAAAAAATTAAATGCATTATAAATAAATGGAGAAGAAAATAAAAATTAAAACCAGTAAGGAAAGTAGTAAAGTAGGACTGGGCCGACTATATGATACCTTTCACCGCTTTGGGTATATTCTACATATGTATCCTAACAGACGTCGGGTTTTTGTTATATATCTATATCTGATACGATTTCAGGGAAACTTGCCAGAGACTTATGTATATTACTTCAGAACGTTGTGTCAATTGGCCTAGCTATGGACCTTTCCCCGAAGCTTAGCAACATCATTCTAGACTTGATTCAGTACGCTATGCCAAAATTCGTGCAAATGAAAAGATTTCCAGGGACTTTGGTGCACCATTTACCTAACATCGGGCGAAACTATATATGGGATCTATATCTAAATCTGAACCGATTTTCACGAAACTTAGCACACATCATTTTAGACTTAATTCAGTACGCTATGCCAAAATTCGTGCAAATCAAAAGATTTCCAGGGACTTTAGTGGACTATTTACCTAAAATCGGACGTAACTATATATGGGAGCTATATCTAAATCTGAGCCGATTTTCACGAAACTTTGCACACATCATTCTAGACTTAATTCAGTACGCTATGCCAAATTTCGTGCAAATAGAAAGATATATAGGGACTTTGGTACACCATTTACCTTAAATCGGACGAAAATATATGTGGGAGCTATATCTAAATCTGAACAGATTTTTCCCAATTTCAATAGGGTTCGTCCTTGGGCCAAATAAGTGACCTGTGCCAAATTCCATCAAATTCGGTTTATAATTGCGACCTGTACTTTGTTTACAATTTAACATGGACAGACAGACGGACGGATGGACGGACATGCATAAATCGACTCAGAAAGTGATTCTATGCACATTCTCAAAAGGAACCATGGGTCTATCTCGATTATTTTTGCCTGTTACAAATATATGCACAAAGCCATAATACCCTGTACCACAGTGTGGTAAAGGGTATAAATATCACGGCCTATTCATTTAAACTTGCCATAAAAATTGGTAGAGAGAGGGACAGGGAGAGGTGATGATAATAGAAGTCTAAAGCTGCAATGGTTTTGAATGGTTAATGTTCCATATCAGAATTATTTTTTTTTTATAAAATAAATTCCAATTTATTTTTGTTTTTTTTTTTCTACAAACACACTCAGTTCAATAAATATTGAAATAACCCCCCTTCAAAAAGCTATTAACAAATATGGTTAACATAAAACATGACAGTTAAAAAAGGGGAACGAAATAGGGAAAGGCCAGATTTCCATTATCTGCCTTTCAATTCCCATTAATGGTTGTGTGTGAATTTTTGTATTTTTTTTTTTAATTCTCTGATATGACATTTGTGTAACAAATTTATATTTGCTCTTAGCCTAAATGTATGTTTAAAAAAAAAACAAATACAAATCAATGTGTTTTTGTTTTGTGTATTTATTTAATCTGTGTGTGAGTATATGTGTTTAGTTTATTTTTTTTGGGTGTATAAGAGTGTGTGTAATATGTTTTACATAAACAAATGTCCATTAAATATAATTTTTATTATTATGTTTTTAATTGTACAAAATTTAATTTACAAAAAAAAAAATAATAATTTAACAAAAATGCTTAAGCATGTTCGTGCATGGGATTTATTTTAATTTAACCTTTAAAAAGCAAATTTTATTTTTTTATTTATTTTCGTTTGGCTTTTTATTTATTTTTATGTAAAAAAAATATTTCCTTGCCTGACCACTCTCCATCTCCTTGCCTAACCTCTCTCCTTCTATTCCATTTTCTTGATCTTCCCTAAAATTGAAATAAAGCCTTCTTCTGTTCTCTCCACATAACTTAAGTTCGAACGCGCCACACATTTGTGATTTTGCTATGACCTCAATACCTATGTTTCATCCGATTTCCCATTATCCTTGCACTAAAGCCACACAAGGACTCCAATAATGATGGTATTTGGCATGGACAGTAAATAAATACCTAAAAATATGTCCGCCAACATTTGAATATAATAGCATTTAAATTTAGATATAGTTTCCATGTATATCTGTCATACGATTTCCCATTATTGTTATACCAATGTCATAATTGGTCTCCTATATCGATCATATTCGGTATGAAGGGTTATATGTTGCCCAAAATAAATTCTGACAAATTTGAGAGAAATTGATTCGGAATTATATATTTGAATAAAATCGTTTATATTTTTGACATAGTTCCCATGTATATCTGTCATACGATTTTACATTATTTCCATTTATATACCCTTTAACATGTGGTGTGCATTCAAAATTATTTTTCTCGGTCGGGACATTTATATGGCACTTATCTGATCGATGGTGGGGTGGCCTTTCTATGGGGAATATGTCATAACATAGACCTATATTGGCAGACCTATATCGCAGGAACGTCATAAAATTTTCTGCAAAAATATGTTTCAACCTCCAAGAACCCGGAATACCAAATTACAGCCACTTCGATGGGAAAAATGCAAAAATCAGGAGATACTTTTTTGTGACCTGTGTCACAACTTGGACCTAACGGGATAATTTTTTCCATAGATTTATGTCAGCCCCCAAAACCCCGAAAATAAAATTACAGTCACTTTGATGGGAAAAATGACTCTAAGACCTTCAAAATTCCGAAATTGTGGAGGTATTTTAATTTGGGAGCTATGTCACAACTTGGACCTATAGTGATAATTTTTTGCATAGATGTATAAGAAACCGGAATGGCAAATTACAGCCAGTTTGAGAGGGGAAATGCGCCTTAGACTTTCAAGATACCGAAATGGGGCGAGTTCATTAAATTAGGGACTAAGTCAAAACATGGACCTATATTTGACATTTTCAAGCAGGAACGTAAATATGTTTTTTACCCTCCAAGAACCCTGAATCCCATATTTCAGCAACTTGGGTGGATATGTGCTGCTAAGACCCTAAAAATAAAAAAAATGTGGCGGGAACTTTATATGGGGGCTATGTCATAATATAGACCGATATTGGAAATTTTCTGGCAGGAACGTAATGTGGGTGATATGTCAAAATTGGGACACATATCGAAAATTGTGTGCAAATACATTTTTCAACTTCCAATAACCCAGAATGCCAAGTTACAGTTCCTTCGTTGGGACAAGAAAAGTGAAACCCACAATATATCGGAATAAAGACGGAACCTTAATATGGGAGCATTGCCACTATATATCCCAGCCTCCAATAACAATTTGAAATTTAGAAATTGAAATTACAGCCACTTCGGTAAAAAGAAGGAGGCTAAATCCCTTAAAATACAGAAAATGCGGGATTTTTATAAGGAGGCTATGGTACAACTTGGACTTATATAGATCATTTTCTGCATAGATATATGATAGCCTCCAATATCTCGGAAAAACAAATTCCACCCTCTTGGAGAGCCCAAAACATTAAAAATACAAGTTTCCGACGGATATTACGGGTATGCCAGCCTCAAAAAACACGGAATGGCAAATCACAGCCAACCCTCAAAATACTGAACATTTAGTGGGACCTTTATTGAGGAGTATGTCAAAACCTGGGCCAAACCGATTTTATGTAAATGATCTACCTAAGACCCAAAATCAGTCCCATTTAAATGAAATTTTGCATAGGTTTAGATATAGCTACCCTATATATTTTCGTCCGATTTTATGTTAATGGGGCACCAAATTCAATTTTTTTTTGTCCGATTGACACGAAATTTAGCATTGCGTACTGTATTGGGTCTAGAATAACTGGTGTTAAGTTTACTTTAATTCTCTATATATTTTTGCCCAATTTCATATAAATGATGCACCAAAAACCCAAATTCATTCCGATTGATACGAAATTTTGTCAAGCGTCCTGAATTAGGTATAGAATGAAATGGAGTAAGTTTCATTGAAATCGGTTCAGAGTTAGATATAGATCCCAAATATAATTTCGTCCGATTTCATGTAAATGGTGCACCAAAGACACAAAGTCTCTCAGATTGACACGAACTTTTTCTGAGAGTATTGAAGTTGATCGGTTTAGATTTAAATATAGCTCTCATATATAACTGCCCAAAGATCTCTAACTTCACAAAGATCTCAGGTTTATCCGATTGGCACGAAATTTTGCATAGCACCGCAAACTGATCCTAGAATAACGTGTGTTAAGTTTGCTTTAAATCGGTTCAGATGTAGATATATAATTTTGCATCTCCCACCGAATTGTGTCTATGGTTAAGACATTGATAAAATCGGTTCTGATTTATATGTAGATCCCATATATACATATGTTCGTTCGACTTCATATAAATAGTGCACCAAAGATCCAAATTCGCTATAATTGACATGTACTTGGTTGATCGTACCAAATTTAGTCTAGAATGCCGTGTATCTACATTGGTTCAGATATAGAAATAGTTCCCATATATAATATCAGCCGATTTTATTGAATGGCCTTCTGAATTGAGCCTAGAGAAATGTGTATTAACTTTTATTGAAATCGGATCATATTTCAAACGATTTTATCTAAATGGTTCGCTAAATACCCAACACTTGTTCAATTGCGCGCTATGTGTCAATTCCTTCTTCCCTAAATTGGTTTTTGTATTTCTAAATATTTTTTCCTCACTCTCAGACCGCTTCCAATTCCAAAAATTTAGCCCATATTTTTTCAATTATTTATATTTAATTTGCTTTTTTAATTATTCTAAAAAAATGTAAATGTGTTTTTCATCCAAAACCTCCACTCCTGCTTATCCCAACATGCTCTTCCAACATAATTTCCAATTTTTGTATATTCCAACATATACGAAATTCAATCAAAATAAAAACAAAAAGCAAAAAAAACAACTACATAGAACTTGATCATAAAAATTCATAAACTATTTTCAGTTATCTCATTCTTATTATTATTCAATTATATTTGAAAACAAATCGTATTTTGTTCTATTTGTTTCTTTTCTTGATTTTCTTTTTTCTACTTTTCTTTTCTTTCTGGTTATCTACATTTTTTCTAACAATCAATCAAACTCAAAAAAAAACCTCAACTACATACATATGTGGCCTTAAAACAAAGATTTTCTGATGTTCCCAGGATGTTCGATTTCCGGCCCGGAGGGATGTAATCTATTTATCTATCATTTGCCACAAGAATTTGGTGATGCTGAGCTAATGCAAATGTTCCTGCCATTTGGCAATGTGATCAGTTCGAAGGTGTTTATTGATCGGGCCACAAATCAGAGTAAATGTTTTGGTAAGTAGAAAATCCCCTTCCCACAAATACCCCATATTTAATCAAATAATAATAATAAAATTTTCTTTCCAAAGGTTTCGTTTCATTTGATAATCCTGCCAGCGCTCAAGCTGCCATTCAGGCCATGAATGGCTTCCAAATTGGCATGAAAAGACTGAAGGTACAATTGAAACGGCCCAAAGATGCCAGTCGACCCTATTAACAATCGGAGTTCCTTCAAATGTTAAATTGTTTTCAATCGCAGTCTTTAAATCTACAAACCTTTACCAAATTGTTTATGCAGTTCTATGTTTTACAAATCGATTCCTCCTCTTTATCCTCTGCCGTCGCCGCCAACAACAACAACAACAACAATAATAATACAACAACAACAATAGCCACCCACAACAACAACAACACAACTTGCAACACTCAAAATCCATCACAGTTGCCATTACCAACACCACCACAGCCACCACTAGCATCATCAACACCAACTCAAGCCCGCCTTCTCCAACAACAACAACTACACCATCATCATTATCAAGCATCGCCGCCACACCATCTACCTTATCATCTGCAGCAGCATAACATTTTGCTTCCCTGGCAGCGTTAGTAGTTGTTGTAGTACAAAAAAGATATTCCCACAAAAAAATATTTAAAAAAAAATAACAAAAAAAAAAAATGTGGAAAACGCGGGAAGTTATCAAAACACGGGCATCAACAATACATTTAAACACTGAACAAATAGGTAAGTTTAAAAAAATAATAATTTTTAAAAATAAGCAATTAAAAAAATCATTAATAAAAAATAGAAACATAATTTCCAGAAATAAAACAACTAAGATGGAGTACTCACAATAGTACTCCTTCTCAGACCATAAATATATTAGGTTTAAAATCTTACGGCCACCACCGAAACCAACATTCTTCTGCAACAGGGTTAAATTCTGGAGATAGGCTAGGGCCCGGGAATGTCAACAACTTGAAGAAAGTTGTCCACTTCGAGAAAGGAAATATGCCTTCGAAAAAACCCAGGATGACTGGGGAGTTTCGCAACCAAAAAAAATAGGTCAGAATATTTTACAATTGACTCGCGGCAAGAAATCTGCAGTATACAACAAATAGACAAAAACCGTTAAATTCAACTTCTGGAAAATTTTCTGTGACAGCAACAAACCCAACGATACGCTAAAGTATAAGCAACGAGCGTAGGTAAAGCGAAGATCAGTGGAGACCTTTTAAAGCACCTTCGATAATATTTTTTTTTAGCATTAACTATATGCATTGATATCGAGGGAACCTTAGAGTCCTTTCAAGTGTACCAGGCAATCATAACCACATGGGTCAGCCACATGCTAAGGAATAGATTTGATAACACATGAATATCAGGAACAAAGTAGGACAAGTGTCACCGAAGATAGGGATTCTATCACCACTCCTGTAGGAGGGATTTGAACCCGTCTGTTATCCAAACGACGTTATAATACTTCTGGGGGAAGAATCATAACTTGTTATGTAGGAAGGTTAAAACGGAGCAAAACATCGCCTTTGATTGGACGAGGCCAAGGGGCCTTAACGTAAATCCGGCCTTCTTTGTGGGGCCCAACTAATGCTTTGGAAAATATATTCAATTGACATTCAAATAAAATGTGAAGCGTCGCATCTTTAAGACTTCAAGCTATCAATGAGTGGATCGACACCGGACACAATAGACCACATCAAAATAAAGTACCACAATCGGATCCTCAAGCAGTAGTTCTGTGTCGGACCGAATACCTGAAATAGGAGTAGTCACAACATGTGAAATTATAATAGCAGAGAGACTTATGGGATAGCAGAACACTGGCTAATACGGTAACTGTTGTTACACAGATGACAGGAAAATCTGGACTGGGATTTTTCATTACTACTAATCTACTAATCAGCTTTTGCAAGCTCTTCAAAACTAACCTATTCTTCCCATTGGGATCATAACTGTCACCTGTTGTCAGGGTATTATAGCTTTGTGCAGCCCCAAAAGTTTATAACGCCGCGAAATATTGGTCATAGATCCACCTTTAAGTATACCGATCGTCATATCTCGAGTAGCTGAGTCGATCTAGACATGTGTGTCCGTCCGTCCGTCTGTCCGATCATTATACTTTGTAAACACGATACAGGCCACAGTTATGGACCAATCTTCATGAAATTTTGGACAATGGACAATGAAGACCCCTATTGTTTTTGGTAAAGATCCGTACATCGCGAAATTTTACATGGAAAAGGAAATTGGGCCAAAGAATAAGCATGCATTTTGACAAAGATTGGTCAATATTTAGCGGGTCAAATGGACCCTGACTTTTGTGTGATAAATGACAAAATTTGTATTCTATGACGTATATATTTACCCCTGAAGGACATAGACCCGAGAAGTTGATACTATATCCAAGAGGAGTGGTTGACCTTTAAATTGATACCAATTATATTGTCGTACGTACTCGGGACTGTGGGACTTACACGTAAATATTTACAGGTGCTTAAGTATTCAGATATTATTTAGTAACCCATTACCACCACATAAGGGGGCGGAAATATAGCGCTGATCGCTTTTAAATATTCCATGAGGTTCTAGTTATGGTTAAGGACAATGCATATAACTTTTGGTGATGATCAGATTATACTTATGGGATGAAGTGGACCGAATACTTATTTTTTTTCGAGTCCATGCCAATAATAAGCCAAAAATCACAACACAACCCACGGTGAAGGATCTGGACAATTAACTAGAAGCGCTGTATTGAATTTGAGTGATATTCGGAAAATATGTCAGTGTAAGGAAGAGGTGCTGTTGACCTCTAATCGGGCTATAGGTAGCAAATATCACGAAATATTGCCCAAGCTCGGAATACACATCCGCAGAAAGTTAGAGTTCCGTGGTAGTTGTGTAGGGTATCTTATGGACTGCCCCGTCCGACTATACTGCTCCGCTCACTGGTTTATACCCTACAGTTTGCACAATTTCGAAAAATTTACCTGACACCCCGAAAATTATATTCAATACTCTTGACTATAATAAAATTTTTATTACTTTTTGTGTTTGTGGTATTGAAAATAGAAAATATCTACCCACGTTTCGATATAACCTTTATATAACAATTTCTCTCGAATTTCGGAATTTTGGGCATGTGTTTCAACCAAATTAGCTCTAATTGGATATTATATTAGAACATGTCGTTACCAACAGTTTTGACTCACATATAGGGGTAGACCCCTTTAAACGGGATTCACCCATTGTTATTTTACTTATATTTTAAAATAATTTTTATATATTTCATTCAAAAATATAAAATTTCATAAATTATAGTTTAATTTATATCGAAATTATTTTAATTACAAGAATAACATGTTTATTATAATTTTGTAAAAAGATTTATATATTTTTATATAATTAATTGAAAGTGTTTCTTAAAACTACTTTTACTAATTTTTTTATTTCAAAAATTTTCAGACATAAATCCAGCATTGAAGTAACCCAACAACAACAACAACATCTTCTGTCATTATAACACTTATCTACTATCGTATATATTTCAAAATAATATATTTTACACAGCCAAGAAAATGCGGAAAAAATGAAAATCCAAACTAAATGACGTTAAGCAGGTTAGCAGCAGAATACATAATGCCGAAAATGAACAACAACAACAAAACAAACAACAGCAACTCGAAAATCATAAAAAATAATGGAAAACACTGAACTTAATAACTTACAAGAAATAATGAATAACAATTTTTTTGCCAAACAAATATTTGAAACAAAAATATAATTATTATATATACACAAAATATATATAGTATATATAGAGAGAGTAGAAAAGAAGCAAAAAAAAGCTGGATAAAAAACAAACAATAAGACCCAACCCCCCATACGCCCCCTCAAAATAACCAAAACAAAAAATGCTAAATAGAAAGACAGTTAGATGCAAAAAAAAGAATTTTTTTCGTTACACAAAAAGAGGAAGAATTTGAAAAAAAAATATTGAAAAAAATCACAAAAAAATTAAATTTTTATTTTAATAACAACTACAAAAAAACAAATAATGATATATATACATACATACATATATATATATTAAAGAAAATAAAATGACTGGCAAGTGACCAAAAACGATCTGGGTTTTCAAACAACAAAAAAATAAAATATAAACACAAAAAAAAAATATTTAAAAATATAACAAAAAAAAATAATTTTTATACAAAGTAAAAAAACAAACAACATTATAATGGGAATTTATAAGAAAATGATATAATATTGCGAGAAAAAACCAAAAAACCAACAACAAATACAAGTAGAAAATTAAACCAAAACTAATTTTACAACAACAACAAAATAAAATTATTTAAAAAAAAACAACAAATGGATACTTATCAAAACCAAACCATGAAAACTGATAATGAATATTTAAAAGGAAAATTGTTGATTTAAAAAAAAATTATAATAATTATAAAAAAATACAACAACAACAAGAAGAAAAATTATTAAACAGCTGAGAGAAAATCCTATAAAGAAAATATAAATTAAAAAAAATATATATTGGTTGGGAAAATTTTTGGGTTTAAAATATAAAAAAAAATCAAAATTTTTTTTTTTCAACAAAAAATTTAAATTTTTTTCAGAATTTAATTTTTTTCAAAAAAAAATTATTTTTTTCCACAAAAAATTTTTTTTACAAAAAAATTGAAATTTTTCAAAAAAAATTTTTTTTTTACAAAAAAATTTAAATTTCAAAAATTTCAATTTAAAAAAAAATTAATTTTTTAAATTTTTTTAACAAAAAAATTGAAATTTTTTTAACAAAAAAAATTAAATTTTTTAACAAAAAAATTGAAAATTTTTTAAAAAAAAATTGAAAATTTTTTAACAAAAAAATTTAAATTTTTTAACAAAAAAATTTAATTTTTCACATAAAAAATTTGAAATTTTTTAACAAAAAAATTTGAATTTTTTAACAAAAAAATTGATTTTTTTACAAAAAAATTGATTTTTTTTTACAAAAAAATTAAATTTTTTTTTACAAAAAATTTAAATTTTTTAATAAAAAAATTTAAATTTTTCACATAAAAAAATTTAAATTTAAAAAAAGTTTTTTTGTTTTGTTTTCTTTCCCTTGGTTTTTTCCTGGGTCGAAAATTCTCATCTAGGGATTTTGAAACAGTTCCCTGGGTTACTTTTTGGCATCTGCGTTATTTCTAAACCAGCCTTTTTTATTATTTTTTTTTTAATTTTTCTAAACCCAAATATTTTTCCATCCAATATATTTTTTTTAATTTATATAAAAAAAATTATGATTACAAAAAATATTAGC